GATCAGACATGTCCCTCTCCCTGAGCTGTAGCTTCAGTGCTGTCCTTTGAAATAAATTCTTCTGTCGTAGTTGGGATTGGGGCCAGGCCCTCAGACCTCTCCACTGGTTCCCTGCTTCATGCCGGCAGTGCAGTCACACCTCGGAGCACCGGGCTGAAGTCTGGTCCCTCTCCCTGTGGAGGTGTAAACACCCTCTCCTTGGGTGGGTTAGTGCCCTGTTGCCCCGCATTTTTGTTTTATGTTGTGGAGTAGTCTGTATTGGAGGCTCTAAATCTCTTAGCTGTCAGCAAACATGGCTACCACACCTGTGTACCACAGGTTGTTAATAAGCCTTCTTCCAATCCTGATGCCAAGTTCTTCTTCATATAATCCAGCTCCTTAGATTACTCACACAGCATACAGATTGAAAACAATATGGTAAAAGGATGCAATCATATACCTTTCTGTATTTTAAACCACAGAGTAACCCCTTATTCCAGTCAAACCACTGCCTCTTAGTATGTAAAGGTTCCATGAGCACGATTATGTGTTGTGGAATTCCCATTCTCTGTTACGGTATGATCTGTTATGATGGGCATTGGATGCCTTTGCATAGTTGATAAAGCACAGGAAAACATCTTTCTGATAGCCTCTCTTTTCAGTCAAGATCCATCTGACATCAGCAATGACATCACTCATCCTCTTCTGAAACCTCCTGAGTTTGAGAGTGCCCACAGAGGAGCGGGTGGGTCTGAACCACTGCCCTTTCACAACGGTTACCTGGCAGCACCAGCAGGGCTCCTTATTTGGTCCATAGAACCTTCAATACAGCAATTTGAGACTTGAATTCTCCCCGCTCAGTTCTTTCAGCTTGAGAAATGCCCAGTGTGTTTTCCCTTTGGGTTTTTTAACCCCAGACCTGTGCACATTTCATCACAATACTTTCTCTTCTCAGGCCCCCCTTTGAAAGCTGCAGCTCAACTCTTTTCCAGGGTAAGTGTAAAAGTTTTGCTACTAGAGTTCTAGTCCACACACATACATGTTCATTCCAAACAAAATGTGTTGAACATGTCCCTGCAACCAGTAACTGGATGGCTGTAGACGAGTTCTCTCGGCAACACACTGGCCGTTGGTTAGTTTGGGTTCCTCCCAAACAAAAAAGGTCCAATCAAAACTGTGGCCTCGGAGGGAATCGGCTGGGTCAGTTCAAAATAAGGCAGAGAGGGCAGCTCAGGTGATGATGACTGGCTTTAAGGGAGAACCTTAAAGAGTTTCTCATAGGACGCAGGATGATCACCAGGGCTTATTATGGGCAAGTTTTAAGAAAACTGGAAAGTGCATTGGTGAGATAAAGGTCAGAAAAGTTGCACTGATTAGCTTTGTCCATCAGGACTGTGCACCTGCTGATTCTTCAAGGGTAGCCAGGGCTGCACCAAGAGAAATTTGCTGGGAGACCTAACCCCATCTACCCTGCAAACCTGATCCTGCCCCCAAGACTTCTTTTTGTTCTCAAAACTCAAAGAACATTTAAAAGGGACATGCTGCGAGTCCCTCAAGAATGCAAAACTGTGTTTGGGCATGGTGTAAGTTGGAAAACACAGAATTCTTCAGGGAAAGGGTAAAGAGATAGATGGTAAAAAACAATAACCTCATATTTTCCTATTTTTGTTTAATAAAGGTTGCAACATTTTTTTTACTTATCCTTTTACTGCATAATTTCTTCCATTTGCTTCAGCTACTGTACATTCAAGAGCAACGATCGGAATCCTTTCTGGCATCCACATGCGTCTTTTCTTGATCTTATTTTCTAACGAGAGTCACCTCACAACTCAGCAGTCTTCAGTCATTAATGTACAACGTGTCACACCTATTCCTGAGATCGTCTCTTCATTCAGCCAAGAGATACGTTTGGTCCCTGTGGCCTAGTTTTCATTTTCTTCAGTGTCAAACTGAACTCGCCCAGGAGCAACTGAAGGCCTGTTCCAGAGTCAGCTCCTAGTCTTGTTCGAACTGAGGGGATGAAATTGCACACATGTAATCCAGTTGATTTCTCTGTATTCTGCCCATGTGTAGTTGCTGGTTTTGTTGCATTAAGAAGGTATTTGCAATGAATAAGACATTGGCCTTGCAATTTCTGGTGTCATTTCTATCAGCAAAGTCATATATTCGAACTACCAATCCTTAATCTTTGTTTCCAACTTTTGTATGCAATTACCAGTAATGATCAATGCATCTTGACTGCATGCTTGATCAATTTCAAGTGGCAGAACTTGGTAAAAATCTTTCATTTCTCTATCTTTGGCAACGGTGGCCGGGCCATCAATTTGAATGAGCGTGGTGTAAGTAGTCTTCCTTGTCATATACGTACATTATCCTGTCTCTGAGAGCCTCGTATCTCAGGACAGATCTTGGAAGTGGCTGTGGCGCCATTCCTGTTCCACTTGTATGCTCAGAGTCGTAGACTTGAGGATGGTACCATTCAAAATGGCAACATTGGTCCATTTCAGAGAACTATGGTCTAGGAGGTCAACTGTCTGGGACATGCGTTCCATTTCACGTGTGATGACTTCCAGTTTTCCTAGACTCATGCTTCACCAAGTCAACTTTTCAATGGATAATGGAGGCCGGCAGCTGTTTCTTCTCATGATGAATCATGTCACATCAGCACAGAATGAAAGGAGACTCCACCTGGAGGAGGCACCCCTTCCACATCAAACGCCCTCAGCCAAAGTTCCACTGCTATCCGTAAAGCTTCACGGGCCAAGCTTCCCAAAGGACCTCAGCAGGCCGTCTCTCCTAGTCTGCCACACTCTGGAAGCTCCACTGAAAGCTGTCCACGAGGGCTGACATCCAGTGGCATAGCTTCCAGCACCACAGCGACATGCACTCTACCAGTGTCTGAAAACCATGACAAGCTGGTGGGGAATGCTGGGGCCAAAGCATAGCTGTTACTATTAAAACGCAGAGGCTCACTTGTCCAAGGCAACAGAAATATTAGGAATTAGAATAAAGACTGAAGCCAAGGGCTGTCTAACAGCTTTTCCCAAACCGGAGGCAGCAATGTTTATTGAGGACTTACTAAGAGCAGAGTGGCATCCTGAACACTCTTCCGAGTCATCTCATCTATTTTTCACAAAAGCCTATGAGCCCGCTACAATTAATACCCCTATCTTACCAAGGCGAAAACCCAGGCTTATCGAGATTGAAATGCCAAGTCATCCTCTCCTAAGTGGAACTCACTAATATTCACACCCTGGCCTCTTCCCAGACATGCTGCGTCCCTCCTCTGATTCAGGTGAGCCGAAAAGTTTAAAGAAGATCTACAGTCCTTCTAGGGAATGAGGAGATCAGATGGTAGATCATTTTAAGTATTTCTGTGTTAACAATTACTTGTATTTTCGTCTAAAACTTACCGCGCTCTGGGAGAATAAAAAGGAATGTACTGAAGGGGGAAGAGGAGTCACACCAGAGTGTTTCTAAAGGGTCTGAGTGCCTAACAAAGGCACTTAAACAAACAACGTGCAAACCAACCACCAGCATTCAAAAGCCTTTTCATAAGGATTGTTCTAGAGCAGTTCCCAATTACCCGCTTGTCTGTAGCAGGGAGCAGATGGTGTTCCTGGAGGTGCAGGCAATGTGCATTACCACATGATTTTATTTTTACATTCACAATGTAGTCATCTCTTAAAGAAAAAAACTGTCTATAATAAAAAAAATACTGCGAATAAAGAAAAGCTCATTAAGAAAACAACTTGTTTTACATGATTATCATTACTACAAAATCATGTTTACTTAGAAAGAAAAAAAATTGACAATGGATTGAAAACAGTGATGCAGCAAAGATTTGATTCTTACTTTACTCTCCAATGGAACCGGCCTTCAGACTTTCAATACACAGTACTGAAGTCACTTTTCAAATGGCTGGTGTCAGTTCATGGGACCAAGCCAGAAAGGATCAGAGGACATGCTACTGTGATACAGGGGCAGGGCAGCTACACATCAACAAGGTGTACTAGGACTGTCGGGAAATATATGGCTGCGCAATTTTTCTGCCGGCGGCGCCACTATGTGCGGCTGGAATAAGGAATCAGGGAGTTGATGCTCGAAACTGCTGCGTTTGACCGGGCCAACCTCGACTCACAGACGGAGAGCTGCCATCTTACAGCAATTGCCAGCAAAGCAGCCCTAAGAAGCGTTTAAGGGTACCGTGAATCACAGTACGAGACTGTGTCTGGCAATGTCTCTTAAAGAAGACATAGTCCTGGGATTCAAAACCAGACAATGGCCTGAAATCCATCCCGGCTCGAGATGCTCCGAACAAACTCTATTTCTGTTTCTATTTGAGCAAACTGAATAACAGGTGCTCCTTAGAACTCTCCAACTTTCTTCTGAAGGACGCCCAGCTCAAAATAGCTTTATAGCAAGTGGCTCCAGTTGACCCTGCTTTTCCCACCTTCCACACCCTCACCGTGTCATTCTGCTGCGTGTTTACTGACACTCTTGGATGTGGACCGAACCTGTGACTCATTAGCACAGATGCCACACTCCCACCTGACACGCACTGCCGCAGACTTCCTGTAGTTCACACAGTGGGCCAGAGAGCAACTGCCACTTACGTTCACAGGAGAGGAGTTCTATTCTGATTGCGGGGAGGGAAGAAAGAAGGAAGGGAATGGGGTGCTGGGAAGGGGACGGGGACGGGGGCTGGCCGGTGAACACATACTCACATTGGTCAGGGGAGCATGTGCAAACATGGAAAACCCTTCGAAGATATACTCGTGGTCATCGTATTCTATGACGGTTGGCCGGTCGGTCTGAGCAAACAGAAGCAGAAACGTGAATCAAACCACCCGTCCCTCTGCCCTGTCGAAAGTCCCTCCGGGGCACAAAATGACAAGAGGAGCAGCAGAGACTCTCGGGGACCAGTGACGTATTTCCAGACACCAGGAGGAGACTGTACCGCAAACTTGGCTTTTCAGTGGAACGCGCTTGCTAGTTGGAAGTTTCTGGCTATGGATATTCAGGGTACTATCTGTGCCCCAAGGCAATCAAAACGTTTGCGGTGGGTGTCATAAGGGAAACTGCCTGGCACCGTTCACCCCAGCAAGTTGTGTATTTATTGAGGCTCAACTTCATCACGCATTTGATTCAAAGTTCCAAAAAGCCTCAATAAATAGCACTGCAGTCCAACGCGTGACAGCCAGGATGACTCGTGAGGCCTCAGGGTGACAGCAGATCAAGCCCTCAGAGATCCGAGTCAACTCCCAAAGGAGCGGCCCAGCCACAAATGCCGCAGCCAGTCAGTTGTCTCCCAGGACCAGGAAGCCCAGTTACCTGCCAAGTGAGCCTGTCAAGAGCGTGGTCCACGGTTATCTAAGCGCGAGACACACTCCTCCCACGCTTTGCTGAGTGCCCACCCTTTTTTCCTGGAAATGCTAAATCTGGAGGTAATTATCAGGATTGGTAACCCCCAAAAGAAACATTTCCCACACAGATATTCAACACTATTCATTTACATATTTACATGTACAAGGAGGCTTTAAAAGGTTCATGAAAGCACTTCATTGTCTTGTCATTCTATTTTTGCATGAACATTTTTAAAGACTCCTCATATATGTGCATATATGTAAAGAAAGTTGGGTAAAAAATAATGAACATTCAAATGTACATATCTTGTTTTGCCAGTTTTGGGTGTTTTTTTTTGTTTGTTGTTTGTTTTGTTTTTTTACTTTCTATTTGAGTAACTCAAGAAAGTTGGTCAAAATTAAATATAATAATTTTTTTTGAAAAACATTCTAAACAAATAATGGTACATAATGGTGCAGCCACTTTGGGAAAATAATTTGATAGCTCCTCAAAATCTTAGACATGAGGTATCATCTGACCCAGGAAGTCCAGGCCTAAGTACACACCCCAAAGAAGTGAAACCATGAGGGGACTTCAAAAAGTGTGTGGAAAAAAGCTGTTTTCTATTATTTTTTAAGTCCATCTTGCACACATTTTTTAAAGGACCCCCCTTATATGTCCACAAAAAACACTGCGTATGAACATTCATAGAAGCTGCTATTCCTAACAGTGGGAATGTGGAAATGGCCCATAAGCGCATCAGTGACGAATGAGGACATAAAATAGTCTCTCCCTGCACTGGGACGCTCTCTGGCAATAAGAGGGGATGGAGTGCTGATACACACTATCACATGGATGAACCGTGGGAGCCTGTGGCCAGTCAAAGAGCCCATTCCTAGAAGACCACATGGTGCAAGAGCCCATCCATATGAATTGTGCAGACAGGTAAATCCCAGAACAATCAGTGCCTAGGCCGCTCTGCCATCGAATTGATGCCAACTCATAGTGGCCCTGTAGGGCAGAGGAGAACTGCCCCTGTGGGTTTCCAAGACTGTAACTCTTTACGGGGGTAGAAAACCTTATCTATCTGGGGGGTGGCTGGTGGTTTTGAACCAAGGGCCTTGAGGTTAGCAGCCCAACATGTAATCACGATGCCACCAGTGCCTAGGCCTAAAGGAGGGGAAAAAATGAGAAGTGATTGCTGAAGGTCACAGGATTTCATTTAAGGGTGTTGAGAATACTTTTAAATTAGAACTCCGTGATAGCTTCACCTCTGTGAATTTACGAATAACCAAACATTACAGACTTTAAATGGGAGAGTTTTCTAGGACACAGTTAACATCACTATAATGCCTTTAGGAATGTCCATCTAATAATACAAGGGGGTTCCAAAATGTTCAGGGGGAAATGGGATCAAAAGACAATGGAATGTTTCCACAAACTTTCTCATGTCCCCTCTGTAATGACCAGTAATCCCATTTTGAAATCAAACTCTCTTGGTAACACAAGGAAGGTCATAAATGACGTACCCAAAAGGGAACAGAGCAGAGGTACACACACTGGAGCCAGACTGCCTGCCTGGGCTCAGATCTCCACTCTGCCACCCACGAGTTGAGCTGCATCCTCTAAAGCAGTGTCTTCGCCTCCTCTGTGAAACCTGGACTCCTGTCTCATCTGAACAGTGGAGATCTTCAGCGCAGCAGCTCCACAGGCTTGTTGTGAGACTTACACATGCCAATACATGCAAAATGCTTGGCGTGGTGTCGGGGGCAGACTTCATGCTCAACAGATATCAGATATTATTATTATTGCCATAATAGACAACAGAGTTCCCTATTCAGTTGATGGCTGATTTTTCCAGAACTGTGGAAGTGTTCTGAGTGTCCCTCCCACTCTGTAACTCCTACAAATTGGCCCATAATTCATTGGCTCTGATGAGATAACCATAGTATACATGAGAAAAAGCTATCAGAGTTTTGTGAACGGAAGCCAAAAAGAAAGTCATTATGTTAAGAGCCAATTTTATTAACATAAAAATAAAATATCTTTAAATCAAAGGCCATTTAGGAACGGAATCAGAAGTTTCAACATCCTATTTGCATTTTTAAAATGAGTGGGATCTGACCTTGTTGGGAACTTACCAGGAAGTTTGTGGGTGGGGAGACTGTGATCCGATAGTGGGAAAGCCGGCCAGCATTGTTGGTCATAGGACGACAGGGTTTGATGGCCTGAGAGGGAGGAAGGAACCGCAAGGCAGTTTAACAGCCACGTCGCGAGGAAAGACCAAGACTAACAAGTCAATGTCGACAACCTTCTTGACTCTCTGTTAGTGTTTTTCTATGTTTTGTGATATATGAAACCCAGCATAGGCGAATCCATAGAGACAAAAAACTAGAATAAGGGTTTCTGGTTGGGGAGGGGGGGTTAATGGCAAGGGAGGCGGGGAACAGGATAAGCTGATATCAAGGAGTTCAATACAGAAGACAATGTTTTGAAACTGATTTTGGTAACAATTGTAGAACACTGTGTGATATCACTGAACTGTTGAATTGAACACTTCCACAGTATGATGTCGGGATTAGCTCCTAATAAAACGGTCCAAAAAAAAAAAAAAGCACAAACTCTGATGGCTATAGGGGCCAGGGGGTGTGGTGCGAAGCAATGGGCTAG